TTTAATGCCGACAACTTTTTTCCTAGTAATATTTTGTTTTGTCAATAATCTATTTCTGGTAATATTTTTTTCCTCAAAAATGTATAGCTCGTAATATTAATTTAAAAATGTATTGCTGAAAATTTTTTTTTCTTCAAAAATTTATTTCTGGTAATAATTTTTTACAAAGTATTTCTGGTATTAAAACCTATTTATTTTTATAATGCTTTTTACCTCAGTTTCGGGGTTAACTATTTGCCTCTAGCTGGGACCCTAACAGGTGCTACCACCCCGGGTCAGGGTGAACCTGGGAACACCAGCAATTAAGATGCGGTTCCGCGCTCCTCAAAACCTCCTGATCAGAGGCCTTGCTGCTGGACGTAGTTTATCGTCTTACCCAGGACGCGAATATAGTTTATCGTCATACCCAGGACACGGATGTAGTTTATCGTCTTACCCAGGACGCGGATGTAGTTTATCGTCATACCCAGGATGCGGATGTAGTTTATCGTCATACTCAGGACGCGGATGTAGTTTATCGTCATACCCAGGACGGGTCAAGCCATGTGCGTTGTATTTTAGCGCGATTATTTATATATGTTGGTCGATGATGCATATTGGTAGCTTTATTATAATATGGGATACTATGTGGGCGGTTTCGTTTCTGTTTCAAATAATTCTAGCAGCTATTAAGTGGAAATAATTAGACATCCTGAATATTCGAGAAAATCTTTTTAACATATGATATCTCCAACAAGATTTTTACTTGAGTCACACTTAACAGGAGAATCTGTCGTTAGATTCGACGTGCTTTAGACCGACTCATCGCTAGATAAAAATAAATAAATATACTGTTTAAGAATAGATTGTTGTATAACAAAAATCACTCAGTAATATCCACAATGAACATGGACCCAATATCTTGAGCGTGTTTTGAAAATGAAACATTATATAAATACATACATACAACAATCTATTTCTTGTTAGCAGTTAATATATTTCAACCATGAAAATGGCTAAATGTATAGCCGAAAGCGTTTGGAAAAAAGAACAATTGGACAGGTTCTATAGAATTTATCTACCGAAAAGAAAAAAAATTACACGAGAAATTAAATAAAAAACTTAATCAAATCACCTTGTTTGTCATTTTGTCATATTGTCATATTCAATGAAACGTGTGTGTGTGTATATATATATATATATATATATATATATATATATATATATATATATATATATATATAAAAAAATATAGTTTATGGTGTGCTATATTTACGGGATAATGCTCAATATTAGAGATAGAGCGTATGTAAATATAAATATGAAAAGTGAAAATCGAAGTCAACACTCAGAGGCGACAGGCTGTTTCATGCTAGGCGCAATCGTCAGGCCGCCTGACGATTGCGTCCAGCATGAGTGTTGACTTCAATGTTCACTATATATATATATATATATATATATATATATATATATATATATATATATATATATATATATTAATGCTAATATAAAATTTGTCTCTCGGAAACCAAAGCACTCAGTTTGGTGATCATTTGATTAGGGAAGAAATGATTTAATGCAATATTTTTTTCGGAATTCTTATTTCTTCCAAGAGAAAATGTATTTATTTATTTTTTAAAGAAAAGTGAAACATGCGATTTCATGAAAACTGAAATTGACTTACGTCGAAAAAAAAAAAAAAAAAGAAAAGAAAAGAAACGTGAAAATATCGTTAATTTCGCGGTTTATGATAAACTGACTTCAGCATTTTGAATCTCTTATCAATTTCGTCTCTTCTGCTTTCTAAAATGTTGGATTTAAAGGCCAAGCTGTTTCATAAATAATTTTTTTTTTATGGTGTTTAAGGGACTTTGGTGCGTCAAAATTGTTTTTTTCTTTTTTTTTTCGTTTAAATACATATTTACAGAGCATGAAATTAAATTCAAACATTTTCATCTATCTATCTATCTATCTATCTATCTATCTATCTATCTATCTATCTCTATCTATCTGTCTATCTCTTTCTCGCTCTCTATCTATCTATCTATCTCTTTTTTTCTCTCTCTATCTATCTATCTCTTTCTATCTATCTATCTCTCTATCTATCTATCTATCTATCTATCTATCTATCTATCTATCTATCTATCTATCTTTTTCTCGCTCTCTATCTATCTATCTATCTCTTTTTTTCTCTCTATCTATCTATCTATCTATCTATCTATCTATCTATCTATCTATCTATCTATTTCTCTCTCTCTATCTATCTGTCTATCTCTTTCTCGCTGTCTATCTATCTATATATCTATATCTTTTTTCTCTCTCTCTCTCTCTCTCTATCTATCTATCTATCTATCTATCTATCTATCTATCTATCTATTTCTCTCTCTCTATCTATCTGTCTATCTCTTTCTCGCTCTCTATCTATCTATCTCTTTTTTTTCTCTCTCTATCTATCTATCTATCTCTTTCTATCTATCTATCTATCTATCTATCTATCTATCTATCTATCTTTTATATTAGAGTTGGGATACCGGCGAGGAAAAATGTATATTTATTATTAAGGAAATTTATTATTAATATAAATTATAGTTCTGTTCTTATACATCAAACACTACCGGTAGTCAATGTGCGATATTTTACATAAATAAAGACGAAAAGAAAAATTATCTTAGCTGACGCGTTTTGTCCTCTGAGGGACTTTATCAAGGCAAATGCAAGGATTTTATTTTGTATCAAGTATTTATATACAAGAGCAAGAATGTTACTGGTTTGTAAAAATTTTAAAGTTTCAGAACGCTCATAAATATTCATCAAGTTAACTGAAAAGTCATGATAAAGTGCATCAGGGACGAAACGCGTCGGCTAAGATAATTTTCCCTTTTGTCATTATTCATATTGTCCTTTTACAGATATACTCTATTTTTACACAATATATATATATATATATATATATATATATATATATAATACTAATTTTTCTATTACTCATTTCGTAAAAAACTCTCCACCTCATACTTAGGTACCTCCCCATAAAAGGTTTCAGCGGTCACACACTGACTCAGTGTTCCTCATTCGACATATAAGAAATTTAACTTTCAGATGAACACAGTAATGTTGTCTTTCACAATAATGACACTTCAATATTTATCCTGTATTAAACAATACCCAGATGATGAAATTGTGCTATGTCGAAAGTACTCGGAAATAAACGAAATATGTATCAACACGGCGATTTTCTCTCGTCCTTCAACAACGACACCAAAAATCTTATCCGGGATTACGAAAGGATCCTATTGAAAATAAGTAGATAGAACATGTCGAAATTATTCAACGAAACACCTCTCATTATATATATATATATATATATATATATATATATATATATATATATATATATATATATAATTGTATATTAGAGTAGCAATCCACTTTTATAAAATTTTCGTTGATGACGACTGACAAGTTAATGCGATTAATCTTTTTATTCATTTTTCTTGCATCCATACAAGTATTTTCTTTTCTGGGCATAAAGTGTTTAAAACCTGTCCACATGTTGTATGGATTCGAGTACTTTCGGCTAATCTATTAGCCATTACCAAGGTTGTTTTTTAAGGTTAATATGTACGTCATATATATATATATATATATATATATATATATATATATATATTATATAATTTTATCCATAATAATTCCATACTTAATAAATACTGCACCTAAGGAGTAGGCAAGGAGTCAGTCGTTCAACTCTGAACCGACTGTTCGGTTAAACTCTCTTCCTACGGGCGGGAGGAAACCGAAGGAGGCTACGCCGAAGGGCGGAGTCTCCTTCGGGGAGGTAAAACCGGCCCTGAACCCGTTTATACGGGTTCAAATGGGCTATTTTTTGGCCGAGCCTAATGGCTCGGGAATGCCCACGTTAAAAAGGCCTTGTGCTACATGAAACCCTCGTGGGGGGTGACTGAATATCGTCAGTCGTTCAACTCTGAACCGACTGCTCGGTTTGAACTCTCTTCCTACGGGCGGGAGGAACCCGAAGGAGGCTACGCTGAAGGGCGGATTCTCTTTCGGGGAGGTAAACCAAACCTGAACCCCTTTATACGGGTTCAATGGGCATATTTTTGCGCCGAGCACACGGGCTCGGAGATCCCACGTTAAAAACGGCCTTGTGCCACATGACACCTCAGTGGGTGGGGGTGACTGAATATCGTCAGTAGTTTAAGTCGAGTCAAGAGTCGAGTCAGAGGCCGTCCTAAACAGAGTCGCGTTTCAGACAATTACTGTAAGACATTGGAATAGTGATATTGGTCGAGACTACATTGTTCTCGCTACTAAATCTGATTGTTCATACTAACACTTCTAATTCTCTGTATATATTCCTGTTTGTAATATATCTGTGTTATTCCATACCTGTGTTCGAGTTCTTCTTTATTGGTTCTACCTTGGACTATCACCGTGGTACAAGGAACCGGACCATAACATATATATATATATATATATATATATATATATATATATATATGTGTGTGTGTGTGTGTGTGTGTGTGTGTGTGTGTGTGTGTGTGTGTGTGTGTGTGTGTGTGTGTGTGTTTTTCAGGAAATGCATTAAATCCGACATGTTTTTAACGTTTTGTTTAAACTTTATTTTTTTTTTTAAAATGGAGTCTCATATTTGAGTAGATACTCTCTTTTTTTGTTATTTATTAAACAGTATATTTATTTACATTTATATATTATTCAATGAAATATATATATATATATATATATATATATATATATATATATATAGAGAGAGAGAGAGAGAGAGAGAGAGACAAAATGTTTCTTCCCTATCCAATTTTCGAAGGAGCAAATATAAGAAATTTGTCTGTTGGGTGGTAAAAGTGGAAGGCCTTCTTGCGCTTCGGATATATGTGTATGTGAGTATCTTTATTTTTCTAAATAGCTTTTCACTCAATCGAATGCAAAATCTCTCTCTCATACTCATACACACACACACACACACACACGTATATATCTGTATGTATGCACACACACATATGTGTGTGTGTGCATATATATATATATATATATCTTTGTATGCGCGCATACACACACATATATATATGTGTGTGTCTATACTAAAAAAAAGTAATGTTTGTTCATTTGGCAAGATTTGCGGAATTTGTTCGACCGCAGGGCCTTCAGACACCCACCAACGTGCGTCAATAGATCGACAGCCAAACAACGAAGAAATGAACACACTTATATTTTACACAGCGAATATTTTTTTTTCTCATAGTCTTCTTTCTTGTCAATGCACTTAATACAGTAGCGAATAGTTATCATATATATCCTGCATTAAAGGACTGCACAAAATAGCAGATACCATATTATTTGAAGACTACCAAGAGTAGCAACAACTAAAATGAATAGCACATTTAACTCGAAGTGAATGTAATGACATAACCAAGTTTGTTCAAATTCCATACCACTTCAAACAAAAAGCTAGGAAGGAAACCACCATTAACACTTTGTGAATAAAACTGATTAACTTCAGAAAAAAAAATCTATAAATTCAACTCATCATAATCGACCCATTCCAAAACACACGCAATAACTCACTCACCATATATATATATATATATATATATATATATATATATATATTATGCGATTTTAACAGCATTCTTCTCATTATTTCGCTCTTAACCCCTGAGTCGAGTGGGGTGGCGACATGATGAGCTGTCTCCAATACTCCTCCATCTGTTGCGGTCGTGTGTCAGAGGCTCGGTCGTCGGGAATGGTTTCTTGGTGTGCTCATCATGTGGCGTTTTAACCTGGCGGGGCCCATCCCTCCCTAGGTTAGACCGCAGCCGATGTCTTCCAGCTAGGTCTTGGTCGCGAACACGTGGCCGCTGAGGAATCCTTCCATCCTGGCCGGTGACTTGCGTCGAGATGGTCCTTCGCCCAGTGATGCCATGTTAACAACACCCCGTGACCGCCTGCCGAAACGCTTTGCCGGAACATGGCAACTTGGAGCCATCACGTGAAAGATTTAGGAGATGGCTCCCTATAAGGAAACATTTGGCATTCATTGACGAAGCAGTCAGTACTGTTTTTGGTTGAAATTTATAAAATCTTTCTTTTAAAACACTTTGTACAGGAAAACAGGTTTCTCATGTCCAGTAGCTGTTATCACTCTTTCCTGTATTGATGGAAGTTTCCAACCTAACCTTCTATTTGAAGTACTTTGAATTGTTAACATTTTGATTATGTCATTATTTTTCTTTGAGTTAAATGTGTTATCAATATATGCTGGTATCGTAACAGCTTGAGCTATTCCTTAGAAAAAGGACGAATCCATCTTTTATCTCCCCAACTTTAGGTTAAATAGTAGTCTAGACTAGACTCTGGATTTGCATGGCAACTAATCTCAAAGTAAAAACAAGAAAGGAAACAATCAACTATTTCATATTGTTTCCCAAGAACAGATGGCAGTACTCCGATAATAAAAATCAGAAAATTGTGGAGAGCCTTGATCACTCGTGAACGGACATGACATGTAATATATATATATATATATATATATATATATATATATATATATATATATCTACCTATATAAATTATCGCTACAAACATTTATTTTGTTTAGTTTTTAATAATTTCGCCCCAAGCAAGGTGACAAAGCCACTAAGGTGCAAGGAATTACTGAGAGTGAAAGACATGGAGAAAAACATTATTGGAGAGAAAGGACAGTAAAAACAAAAGGATTCAAAAAGACAAGTTGATCATTGATTTTACATTTAAATTTTTGAAGATCATCGTTGATAGGAAGCAAGAATCCGGGAGAGTGAGATCCACCGACGAAAATTGCGAAAAACTAGTGAAATAATATATACACTTCCATCTAGCAACTTCAATAGTAAAATGATGAGACCTATCTGCCAATCTAGTAATACGCTCAAATTCATGAAATAGAGGTACCAAACAATTGAGTGTACACGAGAACAATGACGACGAATATATTTGTAGAAAAATCACAGGTTTTCGTTACGTTGACGGGGAAATGATTGCTGTCGAGATGTTAGGCCAGGACAGATGATAAATTGCAGATTCCCTTTGGATTTTGTCAAGAAACCTTAGATACATAACAGAAGAACCACATCAGATATGGCAAAATTATTTAATGCACGAACGAATGGTAGTTTTATAAATATGCAAGATCGATTCTGACAAGAAAAATTGTCTAGTGCGATAGTGTGAAGCAACGTACCTTCTAGTAGGGTTAAGAATTGACTCAACATATTAATTCCACGTCACTTTTTTCTCGCCAAAATCCATTTTACACATTTATAAGTCCACCATTCGTCATTGCAGTGAATAATGCTGCCACATCTAGTCTGATGCCCTGGCTATATATTTAGAGATTCTTGATAAAATCCAAAGAATAAGCTGCAATGTCATCGGTGCTGACCTGGCATATCGGCTTCAATCATTTTCCAACCGCCTTAGTGTAGCTTCGCTGTGCTTCTTCTA